ATATATGGAATCTACAACGAAGACACCTAATTCCCAACTGAGATATAAATGTCCAAAATATTGTTGTCGTTTTGAATTCTGTTCAGTCGAATATTTCTAATTTCACTTGACTCGCCACGCTACAGAGGTACTAGACCGTGACTTTCTAGACGCCATTTTGCGTGATATTCTGTGGAAATAATCTCGAATTCAGAAAGTATAATTCATGAAATGGGGTCTATGTGGAGCAAATTATTTGCCCAAAATAACGTAGTAATTTATTTGAAAAGAGCTTAAATCACTTCCAAAAAAAATCATTAAAGATATTAAAATTATGGGCTATGACTAGTTAACATTTAAATTTCGATTTCATTATTTTACTTGTCAATAATAATTGAAATTAAGGTGAAAATCAAGAAGTGTGACGAAAAAAGGGATTCCTGTAATGGAAGTAAAATTGATCAATCGACTTAAAAAAACGAATCAAGCTTCCGTTGCAGTTGAAATAAATTTCATTTCAATAACAAATTTTTGTAAGATCTCTGGACACCAAAAGACAAGAGTTGAAACTTCCTTACACCAAACGAGGGACCTTTTAGACCTACTTTATGGTAGCACAACCATCTATGGAAATAAGGAGAATCCATGAGATATAATAGAAACATGGCGAAAATGGGCTAACGAAATGCTCTCAATTTCAAGAAACGTTGGTGGTGTCATGACTAAATATCTATTTACCTCTGACCCTTCTATAAATAATCTGGAAATTTTTATTTATTTATTTCAAATGGCAGGCGTTTTGATGGATATCATTAGCCCTTTAGCTGACTTCGGGCTCCACAGAGGTAGGGTTCATTAAAGTAGCAGAAAGTAGAGGGGTGGGGAACAGAAGAGTGGTTTACAGTTTTAAAAGAGACAGTCACAAAGGTAGAGAGAAAGGTAAGATGAGTACTGTGAAAGGGGTTGAATATGTCAACCAGGGGGGTCGTAGTAGTTTGAGGTGAGAAGTCAACTGCCAGTTAATAGACTTTTTTGCCGTATGAGAATACGTTGCCCAGGGTGCACCACGTGGAGGTAAGTCTATCACACACCCCATCTGCAAATGTTTTGTTCCCAATAATCTACTGCAATCTCTTGAGGTATATCATGGCAGCTGTTAATAGGATTCAGTACTGCGTAGGCAGAATATTCTAATCTCAACAGCGATTTCGAAATTCAAACAAACTTGGATGTGTGGTTGTCCGAAAAGGAAGAAATGGAATGAATGTGTTTCCTGACACCTGCAGTTCATATTACTGAAAATCAACTCCAACTTACACGATGACATTAATCAGGAAGAACGATAACTCAGGTAGAAGTTCACTACTCAAAGGAGTATGATGACCTTAACAGGAATGCAATACGATGCATAATGAGTTAGCAAATTTTGATAAACTCATTTGAGGCAACTTAAATCCGATTTAAATAATCGTTTGGACTAGATTGGAGCAGATTTTATGGATGCCAATGTTCAGACAAACTAATTTAAATTTAAAAATGTTCTCTCCGTGGCATACTTTCATCTCACCGCCACTACCCGCTTGATCACCACTGTTTATTTCATCCATTCTCCCAGCTCAGTCTTGTAGTTCACCTTCCCTATCTTCCACGGACATCCAGCTCCCAGTTGCAGCTACTCTTGTAATATTCACAGGTTATGTAAATATTCAATAGTTATGTTCAATTTATTGTTCTTTTCTCGTTTTCCTTCGGTTTATTCTATCTCAATTTATTCTATCCCAATTTATAAGGGAAAATTTGATAAATAGATGGATGTTTTAATTTCTATTTCATTATTAAAGTAGTGAATTTCTATGGCTGTCTAATTTGGCAGAAGGTTCATTTTTATGGCTGATTTCTGCTTAACCAACAAAAATATTAATTTTAAAATACTAATACTCTACGCTGACGTTTCTGAGTTGATTCGCAAAATTTCCAATGAACAATACATTGGTGACTTACAATTAACATATTGGGACGATCTACAGAGGTATTGAGTAGGTTATTTGATTTAAAGATCGATAATACAGCCTGGACACCATAGAATGCATTACTTCCACAAATCAGGTAACTGAAGAATGAAATCCAAAAGTCTTTGAGAACACTAACTTCGCATTTTTCTATGTTATATTTATTAAATATGTTCGTGAAATTAAATTAATTTGCACTACGCTTGAACATTGATTGTTGTGACATTCTAGAAAGTAGGAAATTAATCCCTTATTTGTTTAAAGTCAGTCCTTTTATGTGAATAGAATGCATGTTTACAGTGTGAAAACACTTACTGTTCTTCACTTCAAATTTTAGGTTTCACAATGCATATCACGTTTAATTGCACAGAAAACAATTTTGTAAGTGTAAACTTCCTTTTCTCTATAACTGCCTTCAATTTTAAGAGCAAGCCCCATGATTGTCTAGTTTATTCTTGCAGGCATGCACTATTGTGACAGCTCTGACAGTAATAGGAGTGCGTCTGAGTAAAGTATATGAGGTGGCGAGTAGAAAACCATGCAGCGGTGAAAAATTTGTCAAAGTTGAAAGATGATTGTTATAAATTTGTATAAAGAAGGTTTGTAGCCAAATTAATGATAGCTATTGGCAATGAATTTGAAAATAATCTAGTTGGAAACTGTAGCTAGGTGACCAAAATAAAGAAAAAAAGTTTGGAGAGGGCGAGGCGTGGATGGAACGGAACCCAAAGGCCTACGAAATTAAGACTTGAAAATTTTATAACGAGAAGATGATGAATGTTTAATACCATGCGATCACGGCATCACTATTTACTTTTCCAGAAGGGTGTACCTCATAACATTTTTGTCGGTTGTAAAAACAAATCCATCTTTGATGGGGCAAAATAGATATTTCTCTGCAGTTGAGTCGGTAGTAATTCGCAAATCTCTTTATTGTCTGACATTCTGCTGCGTAAACAAGATTTCAATAAATTACTCTTAATTAATATCTCATATTGTTTTAAAAATAACAATTAGTGGGCATGATTCAGATACTGAAATCCTATATAATTTATAAATTAGCTTTAGTGACTTATAGATTTCAGTTTTAATAAGATATAAATAAATTTGCTTCAGAAATTCATTTGAAAAAATTGGAATTACTTTGCAATATTGTTACTTTTGCTTTTGGCTCCTTCGTAATTTTACGCCAAATCTTTCAAAATTATTTTTTCATTAAAACTTTTTGAGTTGATTAATGATTGGTTAAAAGATAGTGACAATTAATGACAGTTGATTGGCAAATTGCATTTTTAAGAAATTTTAGATCTTTTTTCTCCACATTTCTTATCATAATGTTTTTTTTAAAAATTAATTAGGCAACTCAAAATACTGGATTATTTATAATCTTTTCATGTGCTTATATTATAATTAATTGTGCGAGATAGACTTACCTCCACGTGATGCACCCTGGACAACGTATGTACTTTGAAATCATTATTCTCGCCTCCTCATTTGCCAGTTCTGTCTGCGCGCTATACTAATCAAAGAATTTTCCTTAATCTATGTCCATTGGTTATTGAGTTTCATTCTCGTACTGTCCGTGCCTTTGGTCTTATGAATAATTTTTTAAGATAAGCGTTAATTGCAGAGGAAAGCAAAGGCGTGTCGTCATGGTATTTCCACAATAAATTTATATGTTCAAGTAATTAAGTTGAAGTATTAAATGGTTTGTCAATAAAATTCCCAGGGTTGCTCTATGCTTAGAAATGCTCACATGCATCAATATCAATGAAATGTTAAAAATTGTTACCTTCATTGTGCAGTAGAATTGATTCCCTATTTGTCTGATTGATTGCCAGTTTAATATATCTGAGTGGTTTCATTTGAATTTTTTAAAAAAATATATGGAGATTCTTTATAAAACCACAAATTGCGCAATAGTTGAGAGAAATCATGAAATCAGTGCCTTCTGCCTCGTTTCAAAATATTCATATCAAATGGCAGGCGTTTTGATAGTTATCATTGGCCCTGGAGCTGACTTCGGGGCTCCACAGAGAGGCGAAGGAATATCAAAGTGACAAAAAATCGAGAGGGGGAACAGAAGAGTGATACACAGGTGTAAAAGAAACAGACACAAAGGCATAAAAATGGTAAAATGAGTACTGTGAAAGGGGGTCGAATATGACAAATGGTCGGGTCATAGTAGTTTGAAGTCAGAAGTCAACTGCCAGTTCATAGACTTTTTTGCCGTATGAGTATACGTTGTCCAGGGTGCACCACGTGGAGGTAAGTCTATTGCGCACCCCCGTTTCAAAATATTAAATTGCGGAAAAGCAAATTTGCTTCATACTTATTATATTTAGATTTGTAGTTTGGAAACATAAAAAATATAAAATCTGACTACGCATATTGGAGAAGTCATAAGCCTACATAGAACCAAATCAGGTAACTATGCACCCAGAGCGCAAGTTCCAGTATTTTAATGATACAAAATATTCTTTTACTTGATCGGATTCTATTTTTGAATAAACTAAACTTTAATTTATATTCATATTTGAGGCAAAATATTTGTCAGTAATTCCTTCGGAATGTTTTGATTAACTAAAATAAACAGCTTCATTAGCGTTTAACATGACTGATACACCTCTCTCTAAAATATTAAAAATATGATATTTGAAACAGATTAAAATTGGTCTTAATATTGATATACTTCAAAGCTTGCTAAACTTCATGCTATTAAATTAATCAAATCATTTTAAAACGCCTTTTTTATTGAAATGTAATCAGTAAAAGTGACATGATTAAAGATTGAATATGTGCTATCAAATTTATGCAGTTGCGCGATAGACTTACCTCCATGTGATGCACCCTGAACAACGTACACTCATACGGCAAAAAAGTCAATAACTCGGCATTTGACTTCAAATTATTATGATTAACTTGAAGAAGGGGACAACAATTTTGCAAGGCATAGACCGGCCGATATCTTTCCACACAATGAGGGCCTTAATCAGGAGAGAATTCAAGACCTCAAGGTGCAACGTTATAGGAGAGACCGACCTCAATGTGCAACGAAATTAAAGCTCGAACAAAGGAGAAACAGTGGCACTCTCCGACATAGCCGACTGGCGAACAAAGAGAATTCAAGACCTCAAGGTGCAACGAACTCAAAGCTCGAACAAGGGAGAAATAGTGGACAGTGGCACTCTCCGAAATAGCCGACTGGCTAAGAATCGAACAGTTGGCACTCTCCGATATAACCGACTGGCCAGGAATCGAAGCCGTTGCCGACTGGCCAAGAATCGAAGCCGTTGCTGAGTTTAACTTTGGCCAAGAATCGAAGCCGTTGCTGAGTTTAGACTACGTACGGACGGATTGCCTGGCAAAACACCTTCAAAGATTGGGAGTATACAGAAGTGGACAGTGGCACTCTCCGACATAGCCGATTGATCAAGAATCGAAGCCGTTGCTGAGTTTAGACTACGTACCGGACACGATTGCTTGGCAAAACACCTTCACAGATTGGGAGTATACACTCAACCCACATGCCCCCTATGAAACCTACAGGATGAAATGGAGAAGACCCACCTGATTCGGTGTCCAACCCTAAAGACAAGGACGGAAAGCAAGAGATACTGGGAAGCAAGAAGACAGCTAATGAACTGCTATTAGTTAACTGCTGCCATTTGAAGTAAGAATAATCTATGCATTTAGTCATGTACATACTCACGGGCGTTTTGAGGCTGAAATAAAAAGAACAAATGTTATAAATATACTTTTGCGATGACCTTCCATCAAACGCACTCTCCTGGGATATTCATTAAAACAAAAAAAAGCATATAAGATTATGGCCGAGTAAATGGGAAGTTGATAGCATAAATTGCTATAAACTGAGGGAAATAAATTTAATATTTAAAGGCAGTGTTTATAAAAATGAGAGGTTGGTTTAAATGTAATAAAGGTAGTATAATTGGATACCCAGGTAAGAATCGTATATGTCGTAAATGAAAGTTGCAAATTATGATTTCTGAGTTAGATTGTTTCGTTTTAGTGTTCAGGCCTTATGGAATCGAAGGCGGGACTCCGCAAATAGATTATGTCACCATGAAATTTTCCAAAATATTTATTTAACCAATCAATGAACAGAAAATGAGTCATTTCTATATCCGTCCTTACCGATATGCACTTTGGATGAATCTTAAAATAATTTTACGNTACAACTCTGTGTGCAGCGACCGTACAGAGTGACCAATCATTAACCCCTGTTTGTTCAACCTAATCCCCCATCCTGACCATGAGTAGCTCCCTGCGTGTACACGCTTTATCCGCAATATACTCGTATTGAATAAACGTGCTCCTACTTGATCCGCAAGATACGTCCTGAATAAACGTGCTCCGTGCACACTTTTCTGATCATTACGTGACTGAATATACGTGTTCCGAATTATCGTCTGTTTCCTTTATAGCTGGGCTATAGCTTAGCTAGTTTCGGTCTGTTTCCTTTATAGCTGGGCTATAGCTTAGCTGGTTCGATAGCTTAGCTTGTTCTGGGAGTCTAGCTAGATGTTGGAGAATTCTCCGTGCTACTCGTCTGTTTCCTTTATAGCTGGGCTATGGTTTAGCTGGTTCTGGGAGTCTAGCTAGATGTAGGAGAATCTCCCTGGTTCTGGGAGTCTAGCTAGACGTTGGAGAATCTGCCGTTCTGGGAGTCTAGCTAGATGTAGGAGAATCTGCCACAGATATAAACGCGCTCCGTGCTACACGTCTGTTTTCTTTATAGCTGAGCTATAGCTTAGCTGTTCTCTAGCTAGAGGTTGGAGAATCTGCCATAGAGATTTCTGATTCCTAGCTAGATGTTGGAGAATCTGCCATAGAAATTTCTGAGCCGGTAGCTAGATGTTTGAGAATCTGCCATGGAGATTTCTGAGTCGGTCTAGATGTAGGAGAATCTGCCAAAGAGATTTCTGAGTCAGGTTGGAGAATCTGCCATAGAGATTTCTGAGTCGGTCAGGCCTTACTAAGGTAGCAATCCGCTACAAATTTTAAATAGTAAACAAAGCATTACTATATTTGAACAAATCAATTATTTGCATTGATAATTTTCAATGCTTTGCAGAAATTGCGCGAATACATACCTACGTCACTTTGATTTATAATTTTAGAAATATATCTGAGGTGCACGATAGACTTACCTCCATGTGGGGCACCCTGGGCAGCGTATACTCATACGGCAATATGTCTATTAACCGGCAATTGACTTCTCACTACAAACTACCATGACTCCACTGTATATCATATTCATCCCCTTCCACAGTGCTCATCATCTTACCTTTTCTCTGCCTTTGTGTCTGTTTATCTCTTTTACACCTGTGAATCCCTCTTCTGTTCCCCCTCTCGAATGTGTCACAATTTGAAATTCCTCCTCTCTGTGAATCCCGAAGTCAGCTAAAGGGCTAATTATAACTATCAAAACGCCTGCCATTTGAAATAAATAAATAAATATTGGAGTATTTCATTTTAATTCAGCCATGACTATGGTAGTTTGACATTGATTAACAGTGACTTCCACTAATTGAAGTGGAAAAACGATTTGGATTCATGTTGCCAAATATCCGTCTACGTTAAAAGAACCAATATAGCGACTATAGCAATAACTCTTCTGCTATAAAAGCTTAGCTTTCCAAATAATAGAGCAATTAAAGGTCACAAAGTGTAAAATTTTCATTCACGTATAGTGTAACCACAGTAACCTCAGTAACACAATTATTAAGGGCGGCTGTATTAGACTTTCATACTGGCGAACCGTTCGACAGCTTGAAAGCGAGAAGGTATTACAAAATAAGGGAAGGGGTGTATAAGTTGGTAGCGAAAAGGAGAATAGATAGAGGGGAAAAGAGTAGTGAATAGTGTGGGAGGAATCCAAATTGAATCATTTAATTACACGATCTGCAAATTCGGAGGGTGGGGGAGCTGGAGCCATTTGAAAATCATTTTTCCGCATTCCTAGAGTGTCGTTTTCCACCTCAATGGGACTTTTCGATACAGGCTGAATGACACTAGGGCTGAGGATAGTGGATGCTCGAAGGGTAAGCATATTATTCATAACCGGTGGAGTTGATGTAGCTATCGGATCGGCAAGTTGATTATGTAGCTCAGAGAGATAGCCATAAGGATCGTGTCTGCATGTGTAAACTTCAGGCGAGTTCACAGTGGGCAACGTATCGTCATGAACACTGAGATCCAAATCAGTATTCTGAGTTGTAATAGGAGGGGCTCGAGTAAAGGTTCCAAATCCGAAATCTCCCCAACCTTTAGCAGGACTCCGGTAGATTGTGGGCCAAGCTATTGCATCCGTTTGCTGGTTGAAGCCATTGGAGAAGATAAAAGGCTGATCGGTAGGGGTTTGAGCAGTGCCCGAGGGTAAGGTATTCGAAGTAGGTGGTCGAGACATTGAAAAACTGCGAACAGATGGTGGTCGTTGGAGGGTATGGCTGTAATCAATGTTGGATCGCCGTTGGAGGTAAATGGGCATTCCCACCGAGCTTCCTAATCCGTCAGTTGCGACAACTTTCCCAGATGTCAATCCGCCAGGACTTCCAAGACAGCCACCGTCTACAAATTGCATGTCATCGTAATGACTGGCTTGATGTCGTCTAAAGAGAACACAAATCGATTAGAATGGGTCTGTCAACTGCTTAAAGTCTGCAAGCAAATAAAATCTGACCTGAGAAGTGCCGCTTTCGCTTTCAATCGAACAGCATAGCAGGCAGCTAAGAGACACACGCCGAAGGCTATGATCGTTAGACAAACGGCGACGACAGTGAAAATCATAACTTGATACCACAGCTCCTAGGTGATAAACAATTTCAAGAAGTAAACTTAAATATATAATTACCGAAAATCAATTGATAAAGGTTCAAGGTATACCCACCTTCCCATCAATTTAACATCACCAATAACTTCAGGGTGGTTTGATTCTAAATTAGTTTGAAAGCAGTCGTTTGATTACATTCGTCCCATTTGATTCACAGTTACATTTACCTTATTAACCCGAAATTATAATTTCGAAATAACACTTTCATTTTATTCACAAGATATGTTACTGCTCGTTTATATCCCTAATATGTAAAAGAAATTAAAAAAAAACACTTGTTTCGAAAAGGCAAATATGGGGTGAAACAAAAACGTTTTGGTGATAGAAAAAGATACATGAATATTTTATAAGGAAGAGAGTTACGTTCAGTAACGTATTTGATCGTTTAAGAAGAAACCTAAATTGGGACACCTTTTTTTCAATCCCCCAAGGACACTGATAACTCTTAATTTAGCCCAAAAATTGAAATTTACTCACAAGAGTACGCCTTCCCCCATGGCGTGAAAGTAACCAATAAAATCTTATCTCCCCCTTGAACCTCTGATAAACTCGAAATAGTTAGAAAAATAATATGCGCATTAGTGTCACAGCTCTTTATCATAGAATTTATAGGGTAACAGGCAAATTTGATTTAGGGCTATTTTGCATTGTTTTATGTGAATTATGTCATCCTCAGACACCTCATTTATTTAAAATGAATTTACAAGTTATTAGCTCTGAAAATCAAATGAAGTTCCAAGTCCATCTTCAATTTTAATTCGTGCACTAAATTCGCTTGTTTATTGGTCTTCTTTAACATAATCAACGACTATAACGAATGGAATATCGATTTCTAAATAAATAAAATCAATCTTAAGCATCTTGACTGATCAAGCCAATTATTAAAATTTGCCTATCTAGCCAAATTCACTAAATTTACTCAAAATAAGATAAAATGTGCCATAGAATATTAAATTAAATATTTATGATCAAAATGTTAAAAATGAATCTATTTAGTCACATTTCCCACCACAGCTATTTCCTTTCTTGAACATCTTATTGGTCAGTCGTGCTGTGTTCAAGTATTGGGAAATTTGTTTGCCTTTTAATGATCCTACTGCAATATGACGGTAAATGTGATTGATAGAGTGTTAATTTTCGTGGTTCTGAAATCGATAAAGCTAGAAGAAATTATCATCCCTATTATTTGTATAATCAATTCATCGTGAACCGATAATAGATTGATAAATTGTAAGATAGAGAATAAAGATATGTTCACATTAAAGAGCAATTTATAAAGCAAACATTTCCAAGCTGTTCTACGAAAAAAGTTTTCTTTTTTTTCATTAGTGATAGGAAGTACAATGAAAGTAGAAATAACTGAATTTCTTATTGAGGAGAACTTAACTTCTTTTAAAAAGATACTCAAAGGCTTTTATATGCAAAGGGGACGGGCGAATAAGTAACGCACTTAGACACAAATAAGTCTAAATAAGTAGATGTCTATTCCCTTAGATTTGCTTGTGAAACTTATTTCAGATACGTTTGAAAGAAATACGAGAATGTTTACAAGCATTAATTAAAAATGCTTCTTTTGTTTTCTCAAGAATGTGATATAAATGATCAGGAAAACTCCTCATTTTAACTTTGCAAGAATTAGAAAGAAAGCCTGTAATGAAATAGCTATCAATCCGATAAAATGAAAAAAAACAAATAAATTTTAAGATAGGGAATCATGAAGCCTACAATACGGTGAATTATAATAAGTAAGTCGGGGTGCGCAATAGACTTACCTCCACGTGGTGCGCCCTGGGCAACGTGTATTCATACGGCAAAAAAGTCTATTGACTGGCAGTTGACTTCTCACTTCAAACTATCATCACCTCACTCTATGCCATATTCGACTATTCCCATAGTACTCACCTCACCTTTCATCTACCTTTGTGTTTGTCTCTTACATCTTTGAAACACTCTTCTGTCCCCCCCCCCTCTCGAATTTTTTTTCAATTTGATGTTCCTCCTCCCCTCTGTGAAGCCTGAAGTCGGCTAAAGGTCTAATAATAGCCATCAAGACGCCTGCCATTTGATATAAATAAATAATAAGTAAGTCAACTTGAAGAGCGTTTTGAGGAAAGATGAGTGATTCATGGGTGTCACACAAGGGGAAGGCTAAATTCCTCTTGGCCTGACGAGGTGGCAAGCGAGTTAAGACTGTAAACAAGGAAAAATTGAACTCTTCAATTAGGGGAAAAAAATTGAAATTTTCTCTTGTAGTTGGACTAGAAAGACGCATTTGCCTTTAAAATGAATGAGGATAA